TTTGGGTAGAGCTGAAATGAACTGATAGGATTTAGTATTATACCTAAGCTGGAGAAGAACAGGAATGATCTCAAGTTGAAGTCCATTAAAAGATTAATGAATAAAAACTTCTGGAGTGTAGACAGAGGTGTCATTCCCTCCTCTCAAACTATTTCAGCTTAAGGGCACGATTCTGCTAAAATATAGGTAAACATCTATACAATTTTGGGGTGGGGAAGTATTTCTCAGTATGACGTCAAAGGCAGAAGCCATAAGGGAAAAGACTGAGAAGTCTGATTGGCATAAAAATCCAAAGCTTATGTACTTCAAAATTAAATAACAGAAAACTGAAATCAAAATAAAAAACTGAGCAATGAAACTCTAAAAACTATTTAGCAAAAGATTCTAGCTGTATAAAGAACTCTTACAAATCAACAAGAAAAAGGCAAGATGTTGTTAGAAAAATGGGTAAAAAACATTAACAGGCAATTTACCAAAGATGAAACATAAAAGTCAATTTTGAAAAAAAAAATCTCTTTCAAAGAGAACCAATTTAAAATCAAGACTTTTATAAGTGAAATACCTTTGAAAAGGTGTATTAAAAAGGTGCACTATTCTCCTTAAGGTCAATTTGGCAATACATATTAAAAAAATCTTAAAAATTTGAAACCCTTTGACCCAACAATTTCAGGAATTTATCTAAAAAGATTTTACAGCAGGAAAGTTCACTGTATTGCTACTTAAAACAGCAAGCAATCTAAATGTCTCCAGATAGGGGATTTGTTAAAGGTGGCAAATCCTTTGAAGTAATACTCAGTGGTCACTAAGGGAATTGTCAAAAAAAATTTTTGGTTGCAGAACCCTTTTAATCTCCCAAATGAAAAATTAGTTGCAACCTAAATTTGAAGAGAAACAACAGTCAAAGGTGATCTTTCGAAAGTAAGGGTAGAGAACCTTGAACACTGCCCACTCATTCTCCCACCTACCCCTGCCCAGAGGCTACTTCCAGTAAGCTTATGGCTTCAAGGAACATATTTATATGTGATATAATGAAGAATTATCAGAAAGATACACATCAAAATGTGAACAGTAGTGGATTTATAGGTAATTTTTTTCTTACTGCTTGTATTTTTTTCCTAGTCTAGAATAAGCATGTATTATTTTCATAAGGAAAAATAACATTAGTTATTTTTAAAGTTGGATTCTTTTGTACAGTTAAGTTTTCCATACCCCTTTGTGTCAGCTGATATTTTAAAGTGTTAAAAATTTTTTGGGTGCTTGCTCAATTGAAATGTCTTGCCTGACAGTCAAGGAGATATCGAAATCCAAGTAACTGGATTCTTTTTTTTTTTCTTTTCAATTGTGCTTTAGGTGAAAGTTTACAGCTCAAGCTAATTTCTCATTCGAAAATTTATATACATATTTTTTGTAATCCTCACAATGCGACAGCACACTCCCCCTTCCCACCCCGGGTTCCCTATGTCCATTTGTCCAGTACCTCTCCCTTCCTGCCTTCTTGTCCTGCTTTTGGACAGGAGTTGCCTATTTGGTCTCATATATTTGACTAAACTAAGAAGCACGTACCTCACGTGTATTAATTTTTTGTTTTATAGGCCTGTCTTTGTCTGAAAAGTGGGCTTTGGGAATGGTTTCACTTCTGGATTAGCAGAGAGTCCAGGGGCCATAGTTTCCAGGGTTCTTCCAGACTCTGTCAGATCATTAGGTCCGGTCTTTTTACATGAATTTGAATTCTGTTCTACATTCTTCTCCTGTTCTGTTTGGGAATCTCTGTTGCATTCCCTGTCAGGGTGGTCACTGGTGATAGGTGGGCACCATCTAGTTATTCTGTTCTCAGGCTGGTGGAGTCTTTGGATTATGTGGTCCTTTCAGTCCTTTGGGCTAATATTTTCCTTGTGTCTTTGGTTTTCTTCATTCTCCTTTGCTCTGGGTGGGATGGGACTGATAGATGCATCTTAGATGGCTGCTTGCAAGCTTTTAAGATCCCAGATGCTACTCACCAAGGTGGGACGTACAGTATTTTCTTTATGAACTATGTTATGCCAACTGACCTAGATGTCCCCTGAGACTATGGTCCCCAGGCCCCAGCCCCAGCTACTTGGTCCCTCAAAGTGTTTGGATGTGTCTAGGAAACTTTTATGCTTTTGCTTTAGTCCAGTTGTACTGACTTCCCCTGCATTGTGTGTTGTCCTTTCCTTCACTGAAGTTCACATTCGTCTACTATCTAGTTATTATCTAGTAACTGTTTTCTTACTGGTAAGTATCTCTGTATTCTGATTATAGATTTTCTTATTCTAAGTCACTGTACCTCATTAAAAAGCACTCTGTGCTCTGGTTTCTGTGTCTTCTCACATACTGCTCAATTTCCCAGGAATGCTCATCCCCAGATTCTTCACATGGCTGACTCCTCTAAGTCTGCAGATATCAAGAGAGACCTTCAAGATTTCTCTGATTATACTAAGTATTCTCTATCATTGCACTGTCTCTGTCATAGCACTTAAAACAATTTGAATTATATATTTGTATGCTTATTTACTTCCTGTCTCATCTACAAAACTGAAGTTTCTTGAGACTATGCCTATTACTTGCCTACATATTACACAATGCTGTAGCATATTTCGTTTGCTGCTGTTGTTAGATGCCGTTGAGTTGACCCCTGAGGCATGGTGACTCCATGCACAGCAGAACAAAACACTGCCTGGTCCTGTGCCATCCCCATCCCCATGATCAACTAAGGATTGGACCGTTGTGATCCACAGGGTTTTCACTTGCTGATTTTTGGAAGCAGATCACCAGTGCTTTCTTCCTAGTCTGTCTTGAGTCTGTAAGCTCCTCTGAAGCCTGTTCAGTATCACAGCAACATGCAAGCCTCCACTGACGGATGGTGACTGTGCATGAGGTGTACTGGTTGGGAACTGAACCTGGGTCTTCCTCAAGGAAGGTGAAAATTCTACCACTGAACTTGAATGAATGAGTGTTAAAATTTGAATCTGGAGACTCATGAAGACATTTTTGCCTAAGTGGGTTGGCAAGGATCCTGTTTTCAATACTGTTCAAATTTCTGAAAACTTCAATAGTAGCCCAGAGTCATTGCATCAGGGCCTAGATCTACTGAGATGCCTACTCCAGAGCTACTAATCCTTTATCACCTATCCTTTAGAGAATGAACATTCCATAACACAGGATGAACACCTGCCACTTCAACATTTTCTAAAGTCTCTTCTAGCCTCACTTTTATAACTGAAGCATACACTTTTATAACTGAACCAAAACAAAACAAAACAAAACAAAACAAAAAAAAACAAAAGCAATCAATAACAAAAAAAATGAACCTGTTGCGGTCAAGTCGATTCCAACTCATAGTAACTGTATAGGACAGAGCAGATCTGCCCCATATGGTTCCCAAGGATCAGATGATGGATTCAAACTGTCGACCTTTGGTTAGCAGCTGAATTCTTAACCACTGACCCACCAGGGATCCCACTAATGAGGGTTAATCTCAATTTACTGAAATTTATTATATGTTATCCCATACATGTACTGGTGCACAGCCACTGAATTATAAACCCTTTTTGTCAGGAATCTGAACAGTGAGAGCTGCTATTCTGGGCACAATTTAAATAACAGGGGCTCCAACAATGGCAAGCCAACAGTCTCAGAGGAGCTCTTACAACTAAACGGGGAACTTAAAAACACCAAAACAAACAGTGTAAAAGAAATAACCATAGAAGGTACCAAATAAGCATAGAGACATAACATTTTAAATACTTCCAAATAGTTGGTTTTAAAGCATAAATGGAGCATGTGGGCTTTCTACATCTTTTCCTGCCAAGTCCCTGAAAAGACTGACTACACTACACTCATCTCAAACAGCTGTTAGGTCTGATCTTCAAATATTTGGCTCCAAAATACAGACCTATTTGCACTTTAAAAACTCAGATGCCTGCATACTCCCACTATAACACCGCATTGAGATAATCCTTTCAAAGTAGGCTGCTGCCCAAAACAGATCTCTATTCATGGGTTAGAAATGCTTCAGATGGACAGAGCAAAATGTCAGCCTAATTCCTAAAGTCAATTGTCAGAAAAAACAATTTGCTCTGGTACCAGAAGATTTCATTCTTTCTTTTTTTTTTGAAGTAGGGGCTGAATTTCAACAGTTATTTAAGGTTAAAGAGAGACGGTAAATGTGAAATATTAAGATTTTAGAAGCGAGGAAAAAAAGTTTATGTCCACTTCTTTTAAAATTGTTGACTTTCTTGGACTAAGTTTCTTGTTTAGCATACTTGCTTTTGTGGGGCACTCAAATATACACTATCATATCCGCCTCACTTTGGGTTGCTGGGAGGTGCAAGCCACAGAAAAGGCTCTTAGTCTAGAAATAAGAATCTAGTAGTATAAAATAACCTTTCCCACATGCTGGTGTAATTATGCTTGTTTTCTAGGACTGTGTACAAGCAAGAATATCTAGCTGTAGTTATACACTTCTGATAGTTATCTAACCCCATAAAGTAACACCCTAGAAGACTGGGATGATAGGTGATACACACAGCATTTCCCTTCTCCTAAGCACACATCAATCCTGACTGATTAACTTCAGTTGGTTTGATTCAGCTTAACTTTTTTTAAGATAGCAGCCACTGAAAATGCCTATAACTTTATGAACCTTGTGTTCCGTTTTCCTTCAAACCTTGTATTTTAAACCTTGTTCCTGAAAAAGCCACTCTTAAAAAAAGGAAGTGATAGTAAACTCAGAAACTAACTCTATTTGGCATCTTACAAAACAGTATTCCATCTTCACCCTATTCTTCTGATGTTTTGCAAATGGAAAGAATAATACTCTCAAACGTTAAGAAACATATCCTGAGTCACAACTGATCAAGGGAAGAAGTGGAAACTACTTTTTCCATTTTCCAGTTTATCATTCTTCCCTTACAGCAGCTCTAGGGATGGCCCAGACCAATTAAATTCCAGGTAGGTAAGAACATCCTTCTCAACCTTACCTCTTTATGCACCTTCCAACTGTCTACTGTCACATTGAAGAGAGCTTTGAGGGCCTCAATGGCACAGTCTGTCTCCTGAGGTGAGAGAGGAGGTCCATTATGGTCTATGGCCGATTCATACTCATCGGTCCACTTGATGCTAAAGGCACTTTCCAAGATCTGGGTTAGCAGCGGTAGTCCCTGGAGCTCATAGCGCAATTGTGACCTGATGTCAGTGTGCAAAAGTGACAGGAGGAAGAGCAAGCGCAAGTCAAAGCACTTAATGTCATTGATAAACTTTCGGTCCTTGCACTTTCTCAAAAGGTTACAGAGCTTTGCAGCAAGGTTAAGTTCCAGGCTGAGCTGCTGTGCCATCTGACTGTTGAACACTATGTTACAGAGACATTTTAACGACTCCACAATAACTGGGAACTCTGACACCTTCTCCAAAGAATCATCCGACTCATTTAGCTTGGCTAGTCGCAGCAGTATCTGCATATTTTCCTTGGTTGTTACAGGAACTAAAATCTTTTTGTCTCTGGAGAGAATGCGGAGAACTTCCAGGCAGGACACTTGACACGTTGTTGGGATGTCCTTTACAAGAACTTTAAATATGCCTTCACAAAGTTTCTGAAAAACAAGAATGTGTATGCAAAAATCATTATTTAGTTCAAACGATTTAAAACAGAATGTTTCTCTATCAATGTATTTAATAGCAGTTAAGGATCTGGCTAGCTAGAAAAGATTTTTATTTTATTTATTTTAACACAGAATGTTAGCACTGGAAGGGACCTTATATTTGGTGCACTTCTTTTACTTTTGTTGTTGTGGTTTTTGGTTGCCATTGAGTCGATTCTCACTCATGGTGACTCCATGTGCACGGAGTAGAGCTGCTCCATAGGGTTTTCAAGGCTGTGACCATTTGGAAGCAGATCGCCAGGCCTGTCTTCCGAGGCACCTGCAGGTGCGTTTGAACTTTCAACCTTTTTAGCTAAACCCTAAACGGTTTGTTAAAACACATACAGCTAGACCTCAACCCCCAGTGTTTCTGATTCAGTAGGTCTGGGGTAGAGCCTGAGATCTGCATATCTAACAAGTTCCCAGTTAACGCTGCTGCTGCTGGTCCAAAAGTCACACTCTGAGAACCACTGAACAATGGCTAACAATGAACTGACATAACTTGGATGTTTAGTAGGGGACTGGAGAGAAACTGACTAGGTGAGTGCTGAAAAGTAGACAGAGCTGAAATTCATTACCATATATACTTTAACCTCTCCTTGACTTCTCTGTGCTGAAGATGGATAAGGATGGCATGGAAGTGTATGGGATGTCAGTGTCTGGTCATATCATCTTTCTTAACTTAAATGTGAAAAACTACTGTAAGTATGAAGCACATTATGATCCTGGGCTTGAAACTTGTTCAACCTGCCATGGACTCTAGAACCATAAGAATGTGGTGATTAAGAGCACGGGTTCGGGATTTACGTGATTACCTAAGGGCACTTGGCTAAGAAGTAGAAGGCCAGGACTCAATGCAGATAATCTGGCTCCAGTGTAACTTACACTGTATGTTAATGATCATACCATAGCTGCTCCCATTTATTAACTGTGATCTTGAGGACGTCATTTCATTAGGCCTCTTTCTTCATCTACACCATGCGCTGTGACTAAATGTACTCTAAGGCAACTTTCTTCTAGCCCCAGAAGGATAGGCTTTTCACTATGAATCTCTAAAACTAGGATCAGCTTTGGCTTTAGCTAGGAAACAAGCAAAACATGCTACGAAGATTATATGAGCATTCAAATGATCTGTTATGATTCATACACTGTCTTAAGAAGTGATTTCTAAAAATAAAAGTCAAGTTTTGAACATAAAGAAAATATCTTTGCTTAAAAGACTGCCATTATAGTTAGCCTACTGTACTCTGGCAACCCAAAAAGGCTGTCAGAAAACACTTTCTAAACATGTACTACTCAGAAGTGTTGTCTACAGATTGGTGCCAATTCACAAAATGATTGCTGGGGAACCATGTTGCTATAGGTACAAAAATTGAGGGTATGCATTTAGAAATTTTTATAGTAAAAATTTCATTTAATGTGACTTTGCTGTGACATCCCAGGATGTGATTATTTCTTTTTTTTATAATTCACTTGTATTATAGTTTTTTTTAAAAAATACTGGTCTACTGCAAATTAGGGACAAACAACAATAAACCTTGGTCCTTCATCATAAATAACTTAAGAAGCATTGTTTTTGACAATTTTTATCCCTTATAAGTTTTCTTTAATATAAAACTAAGGTAGTAAAAACTACCTCAGATCCCACAGTAATGAGTAAATAATATAAAGCTTTATAAACATGCTTATCTAAGACTTAATGTAATCGTTAGGTATTGTGGTGGAAACTTTGAGAGTTGCCCACCAAAATCCATTCTCTTCTTACACAGTAATAGAACTGTAGAGAGGCCCTCACCTGCCTAGTTACACTGTATTTCCCAACAACTCTTCATGATCATGTGACTGAGTTCTTGCCAATGGAATATATGTAGACATGTTGCAGGTCATTTCCAGGTTTGGGTCTTTAAGACAGTGACTAAGCCTTCTCCACATTCTTCTCCCCTTCTATAGACTAGCACTAGATGTGGCAGCCCAGTCTACACCAGGACAATGCTCAGATGGTGAAGCATGACTTGACAACTTGAAAAGAAAATTGAGTCCCTGAATAAATTCATAGAATAGAGCCACCCACCTGCCTGGTTGATGATCTCAGAACTCTTATTTGAAAAGGTAATAAATATCGATATTCCTAACCACTTCTATCTTGGGGTATCTTTGAAATATGGTGTCCCATCAATGCCCCATAGAGAATCTCTTGTGCCATCATTCCGTAACTAACAGAGTTGTATTTAATCTCAATGACTAAGCAACTACTCTCTATATCTCATACCAGGAATCAGGCCAACTTGGCCTGGTTTTGCCATGACTGGTTTATATATTCATTTGTTCATTTATTCATCTATCCATCAAGAATTCACTGTGTCTAATAAATCCAAGGTAAATATCCTTGGCACTGGAGATACAATGGAGAACAAGAAGGTCTAAGGAACTTAAAATCTAGTGTGAGAGAATTACAAAAAACACAAGCTATGGAGGAATGCAATAAGTGCTCTGCTAGATTTAAGCGAGGGTTTCTCAACTTCAGCACTACTGACATTTTGGACTGGATAATTCTTTGCTGTGTTAGGCTGCCCTGTCCATTGTAGGATGTTTAGTAGCATCCCTGACCTCTACCTGCTAGATACCAGCAACACCCCCACCTACTTAGTCAAGACAATCAAAAATGTCACCAGAAATTGCCAAATGTCTCCTCAGGAGCAAAACTGCTCCCCATTAAGAACCACTGGTCTATGTGGTTCTATGGCAATACAAATCTAAGGCACCCAATGCAACCTTATGGGAGGGAAATGGACCAATTCAGGGTAAAATTTCCTAAGGAAGCAGCATCTAAGTTAACACCTGAAATGTACAGGTGTAGTTTCTATTCAGTCATTTAATAAATATTTGAGTGCCTAATATATTCAAGGCTCTGTGTTAGGTGGTAAGTGTACAGTGGTGAACAAAACAGACATAACTTTGGTGTTATGGAGATTATGGTCTAATGGGGGAGATAGATAACAAACAACTGAACAAGTAAATATACAATGAAGATGTCATTAAATTTTATAAAGGAAATGAACAGGATGCTGTGATAGAGAATAACTGGAAAGAGGCTCAATTTCAGAAACAGTGAAATTTAAGCCAATTCTGGTGGTGAGAAGCTGCTAAATGTGCAAAGAATAGGAAAAAGAATATTGCAGGCAGAGTCTGGTATGTTTAAGGTCCTGAAAAGCTGGCGTGAGTGATGTTATAAGCAGAGTGCTGTGAGATGAAAGTGGGGAGTAAGCAGAGACCAGATCATGTGGAGTCTTACAGGCTATGATAAGGAGATTAGACTTTAGTTTAAATGCTATAGAAAGGCAGTAAAGGAGTTTAAGCAAAGGGGAGTTATAACCCAATTGTAATTTTTAAAAGATCACATTGGCTGCTCTGTGGAAAATGGATTGGAGGGGAGCAGATGCAGCTTCAACTAGAGTGGTAGCAGCAGAGAGGAGAGAGAAGTGGATGAATTTGATAGTATATTTTAGAGGGAAAATCAATAGGACTTGCTGATTTATTGTTTGTGGGGGAGAGGGAAGTGTTTGGCTTAAGTAATAAAGTGCCATTTATCGAAAAGAGGATGACTGGGGAAAGAAAAGCTTTTAGGGAAAATCCTGTATGAACACATTAAGTTTCAGATGCCTACAGGGAAGTCAAATAGGAAGCTGAATGTATATGGCTGGAGCTCTAAGCAACCATCTGGGCCATACCTTCTACATGAGTGAGGGCATTTCAGACTACAGGAATGATGAGATCACTTAGAGAAAAATACAAAAAGAAGAGGGGGGCTAAGACAGAGCCTTAAGAAATGCCAATACTGAGAGGTTGGGAGGAGGAAGAACCGATAAACAAAATTGAGGAATCAGCCAGACAGGCAAGAGGAAATTTAGGAGTCTGGTGTCTTGAAGCCCCAGTGGCACAGTGGCAAAAGGTCGGCGGTTCAAACCCACCAGCTTCTCTGTGGGAGAAAGATGTGGCTGGCAGTCTGCTCCCTTCCATAAAGATTTATAGCGCTGGAAACCTTATGGGGCAGTTCTACTCTGTCCTATAGGGTCGCTATGAATCGGAATTGACTCAGTGGCAGTGGGTTTGGTTTTTTTTTTTGATATCTTGGAAGATAAGACAGGAGAGCATTTTATGGGAAGAATGGTGTCATGGATTGAATTGTGTCCCCCAAAAATATCTGTCAGTTTGGCTAGGTAATGATTCCCAGTATTGTCGGATTGTCCATCATTCTGTCATCTGATGTGCTTTCCCTATGTGTTGTAAATCCTATCTCTATAATGTTGATGAGATGGGATTACTGACAGTTATGAAAACTCAACCTACAAGATTAGATTATGTTTTAAGTCAATGTCTTTTGAGATATAAAAGAGAGAAGTGAGCAGACAGACATGGGGACCTCATACTACCAAGAAAGCAATGCCAGGAGCATAGTGCATCCTTCGGACCTGAGGTTCCTGTGCTAAGAAGCTCCTCAGCCAGGGGAAGATTGATAACAAGGGCCTTCCTCCAGAGCCAACAGAGAGAGAAAGCCTTCCCCTGGAGCTGGCACCCTGAATTTGGACTTCTTGTCCACTAGACTGTGAGAGAATAAATTTCTCTTTGTTAAAGCCATCCACTTGTGGTATTTCTGTTAAAGCAGCCCTAGATGATTAAGACAAATCGTCAA